GTTTAATATTTAGTACAAAACCCCCCCCCACCTCCACCCCCCCCAAAAAGGGGGGGGGGGGTGTGTTTAATATTTAGTACAAATCACTCCTCCAGCTCCATCCTCACCAATAAGTTGGGGGGGGGGTGTTTAATATTTAGTACAAATCACTCCTCCAGCTCCATCCTCACCAATAAGCTGCACATTTAAGTACCATAATTTTTTTTTCAGCAAAGGAAATTTTGAACAGTTTACTTACCTAGAGAATTGTGATTACACCTTAAATTTATCTAGAGATCTTAGAGCATCAGTCAGGGATCCTCAAATTTTTATGGAGAATACATTATCATTTTAAAATATTTTTTACCTCGAGGATGATTTTGACCTGCCCTTCGGCTTATATTGAACCCTGGGTCACCCCGATCCATCTGTTTCACCATTCTGTGTTAACACGTGACTTAGGCAAGGTGTGACACCAGCATCAAGTACAAGTAACACGGGGCAAAATTCACAATTAAATAAACTATATTACAAAGCAAACAAATAAATGACAACAAAAATATTAAAGAGATATTTATCATCTTTATTCTTGCATGTCCCTTTGAGGATTAAAGGGATGTAATTTAGAAACAAATCTTTTTTTTTATAAATTCATACAGAAAAATTATATTTGTGTGAGTAATAAAAAAAAAATATGGTTTTAAAATATGGTGAAAACAAGCGTAAATGCACAATAAAAATAAATACATTATCAACACACAAAAAGTTCTATACACATGCAACTACGTTTGTTATAAACCAATACAGAAAAATGGAGCTAATGAAAGCACACCCTCATCAAACTATTTTTTTGATAAACCATTACAGACAAATGGAGCTAATGAAAGCACACCCTCATCAAACTATTTTTTTGATAAACCATTACAGAAAAATGGAGCTAATGAAAGCACACCCTCATCAATATCTTCAAACCTTTTCTTTCTTTTTTTCTTCTTAATTTTTCACCAGCGAAAGGAAGTGATCTTGTAAGTTGTTGTTAAAAATAAGAGTGACACCAGTCAGACGGGGTACCTCTGCCTCAGTCAGTGACACCAGTCACACGGGGTACCTCTGCCTCAGTCAGTGACACCAGTCACACTGAGTACCTCTGCCTCAGTCAGTGACACCAGTCACACGGGGTACGTCTGCCTCAGAGCTATTTTTGTTATGGGTTTATTTATACTCACTATATAATATGTGGTTATATTAAGATGATTCCAATGGACCATTGAATCCAGGACTGATAGAATATTTAATAGACATCTGAAAATATTTTATGACCTTTATCCGACCACCTTTTGCCCCAAAAATTTTAATCTACACCAGATGAGAACTATTTCATGACAAGTCCATTTTGTTTATGGTAAATCAAGTTCGGATGCAACTTCACAGCCCTTGCAAAAAATTGATACAATAAATTGCTAATAATTTTTCATAAATAAAAAAAGGATTCATGTTAAATATAAATAAATATCATAGTTCAGATATAAAAATTTAAAAATAAAATAATGCTTTAATTAAAATATCATTTGAATTGAGATTTTTTCAGACAAAACCAGTGGCAGCCCTAAAACTGTATTTAACTTAGTAGAGGCAATATAAAAAATCAACAAAAATGTTTAATTTCTTAGTCATTAGTGGGGCACAATCCTGAGATGTGAGAGTCAACCAAGAAATATTAGTTAGGACCACCACGTGGTCACACTTGCATATTTTCCAGAATTTTGAGATAAAAATAAATAACATAATTGCAGTTAAAATGTATTTGTTTCTTTGTTCCTTATGTTGATACCTAAATTATTACAAGATCTAACACTACAGAAAACATCAGCTATTTTTCAAAATAAATAAAATGTATCTTCAAATTATTAAAATTATACTTACTGGGCAACTCTTAAAATCAGAGGAGCCCAGGCAATGTAAAGTGATAGTTATTTTCCCTAATGGGGCAAAGAGTCAGAAATTATGCCGAAATGCAGACCTCATCCTAATGCAGTGCAGTCAGTAACTACCACTGCATTTTTCTGCACTTAATTTCATCAGGCAACAAGAACTAAAATAGCATATGGCTAAACTCTTTACAGCATCTTTTAAACAAGAGGAGATAGTTAAAATCAAATTAGGAAATAGTCCCCCACCCTCTCAGAGAACCAATTTTGAAAACACTATATTAAAACTATACAACTATTTCTATACTATAAGCAAACAAATAATATGATATTTTAAATATATAAATATGTTTAACAATCAAGAGAATGATAGCTATAGAATACCATGTTTATGAAAATGATCCACATTTATATTGTTTAACAGATTGCACTAGTCCATATTAATAAGATGGAAAGTTTGGTAGCTTTAACAGACAGCATTGTTTTTGCATTATTTAAAATGCAGTTATAAAAATACAAGGTTTGCTAGTAAATATAAAACCCAGGCATACATTAATAAATTCAAACTTAATTTTATTCTTTTTAATTTAAAAGAAAAAAAATCCTAAAATAACAATATGTTTCACTATATACAATGTGAAAACAGTTAAATAGATTATAAATAATAGATGTCATAAGAAATCATAAACTAAACAATTTGATGATGTGTTTTATTGTAAAAAAAAATTTTTTAGATTAATTATCAGTTCATGCCTATTTCATTAATATTGTGTTAATATAATGCCAACACAATTTTACACACCCTAATTTTGTGTAGGGATGCGTTTTTTCAAATTCACCTACAAATATTTTTCACTTCAACCAAGCCGCTTGTATTGGGATTAAAATAAGTTTGTATAAACAGCAATGGAACACTTTAAAAAAAAAATTAAATAAAAGACCATCCATAAATGAGGCCATGAAAAAGGTGTGTGTTGTGTGTGTGTGTGGGAGGGGGGGGGGCAATATCTTTGACCAAAGGGTTTTAAATTAAAGTTACAATGGAATGACATCTTTTTGAAAATCATGTAATTATTGTAATTTATAGATTGCCCAAAAAGGACTGACCAACTTAATACAATTTTTGTCTTTGTCCTCACTAATGACTTATGAAAAGAAATTAATTTAAATAGTACCACACAATTTGACTTCTTGGACCAGAAATAAAGTGCAACAAGTCTGGCAAAAATCCACATGCTTACACTGTAAAGAAACCTGGCCATTGTGAAATATTTCTCCAAACAGGAATTACAAACAAGGAAGGTAGCCCCTTTAAGCCAGCAAGTTACCCCCACAGACATTCCATGATCATGAGTTTCTATTTAAGAAAAATATACAAACGTCAATAAGTTTTATCAATTCCTGTGAACATGTAAAGCTAAAGATTAGATATTTAATAAATAATTACTTATCATAAGGCATATATTAAATTAAAAATTATAAATACCGGTACCCATGTCCAAAACTTAACAAACAAACATACACAAAAAATAAAATCAATCAAGATGACCAGTAACATGGGCTAATAGAAAATGCTTATTCAAATTTTCATCAAATAATTCTAAAAAAAATCATACACTGTAGTTGCTGAGTACAAAAAAGTTGGATATCCAATAACGGCATGACTTTTCTTAGCTACACTGCACAAATATTCACATAAAACTTTATTTCATTACAAGAACAAATATTTTTCAATAGGGATCTCTCAAGCTCATCAACAAGTGATGATAGAATGACTAAAGCCATCTACAGTAACTTGAGCTCCAAACATCCCCATCATTATCAAGGTGTAACCTTAAAAACCAAACCAAAAGCATCTTTCACATTTACATTTGAGGAATATCCAACTTCTACAATGGTTTTGTAAAAAATTCATTGAGTAAATACTCTGTAAATTGTGTTATGAAAGCATAACTGCTAGATCTATCTCATATTATGGAGAAAAAAAAAGATGGGGGGCATGAATTTAATAGAATTATGTCTCATTTATGATAACTGGGTTGATAACTTTACAAATATCCTAACAAAATTAACTTAAATTTATTAGCTTACACTTACATTTAGTAACTTAATTTTTTTTTTCAAACTATAAAATTAAATACTATCTGCAATGTAAAAGTTTGGCAGTCTGGCTAATGATTCATTCCACTAAAAGACACAGCACATCCTAGTGACCAGATTTTTTAATGATTATGCTGATGAAATCTTTCAAAGTCAAACCAATTATTTCAATCACAGTTTCATTGAATTCTGCTACAATATGGATTGTATCTAAAGTGAGGGCATGAAACAATAGAGGAAGCAGTAATTTTTGAAAATATTTAAACAGAAATTATCACGACTGTGACGCAGAATTCTTATGCTGCACATTTTCTCATAACTTACATGAAGCTACAAAGACATGGTGACAATAAGCATTAGGCTGAGTATCCGTTAAAAAAGATAACTGTCTACTTTATTTACACAAATGCCTTGGAGAAGCACCAAGGAAATGCCATGTACAAAATGTAAAATTTTTGTTAACAGCTGACCTTCCTGACTAAGATTTTTCTATATTTGTGCTTTTTGATCAAACTATATTTCAAATGCCAGAAAATTCCCAGTTTATAGGCCTATATATATATATATATTTATATTTTTAATGGCCAATTCTTTTTTATCCTCTCCTGCTATAAACTTTTTTTCTGGCAAAGTGATAAAAACATGTATGCAATGCAATAAGTTATTGGAATAAAATATCAACAGCTGAACATCCTGTAACAGGTCAGGAGACAGGAAATTAAGTTCTAACATGGCTTGGCTTTTCAAGAATATCGTTTATGTCAGTCCCTCAGTACAAAAAAGTTATGTCAACATTTTCTTGCAAAAGAAGCATACAGAAAAGAGACTCTCACATTAAACTAAATGTGTTATAGAAAATTACAGAACCAAAGAATACATTTTGTTGTAAAAAAATCTTTGTTTAAAAATCGACTGTCTGGTGATGCTTTGCCACCATGATAATAATAATAATATAAAAAATCTGCAGCAATTTTAATCCCGTCCATCAAAGAACGTAGAGTGTAAGAATATGAAGGGTGGTTGATGGCATAACTATAAAAACAAAAGCACTGTGGCATTTATGATTTGTGAATATCAGCTGTAAAACAATTTTGAGCATATTTTTAAAACAGAATGGAGTAAAGAATGTAAAGATGTTTGAGTGCCATACAAGATGTTTGAGTGTTCAAGAGGGAAAATGNATATATATATATATATAACATATATATATATATATATATATATATGTTCTTTTAAGAAGAAAAAAAAAGGGGGGGGGGGTTTGCAAGAGATTTTTTTGGTAGGTTGTATCCATTGAACTGAGGGTAACTAAATTTAAAAAAATATCTTACAAAGGATGAAAAACGAAAATTCTTGTATCTTATTATTCATAAACTTCAAAATATTTTTCAATGTTTATTTTTATGTTGTTTCCAAATCCTTAAGATGAAACATTATGAACCAAATTATAACTATTAAATATGGAAATGTTCTTTTTTTTTTAATACAGTAGTTTCTATTGATGCAACATCTTTAGACTGTTATATGTAACAAAATAAAAATGACAATTGACTTTCTTTTGTTTTTCAAAAAGTGTTTAGTCCTGCTAGCCATTTGCTAATATCTCATCCTATCGCCATATGGAAATCACTGATTTCAGGTTTAGGATCAGCTAATATCTCATCATATCATGATAGGGAAACCACTAATTTAAGGTAAAAAAAAAAAGGTTTTATACAACTGGTTTGCAGGAATTTGTGTGAAAAATCCTTTGAAATGAGCAAAGAACCCCTGTGCATTTCCCTTATAGATCTAATAGTCTAGCAGATGGAGAATACTTCTTTGTCTGCAATGAGAAATCATAAGAAGCAATAAATGTCACGGATCAATAAGCTTCACAGACTAATAAAATTTTGTAGTCTTGGAAAAACAATAACAAGGAAAAACAAGTGGAAGTAAAGTAGTCTCAATTCACATTCCAATTTTAAACTCTTTTTGCTAAGATGCCTGAAATACATAAGTAAAGCACATGAGATATTTTGTTAAAAAAAACACACACAAAAAAAATAAACAACATTGTCCTGTAAAATAACATTATAAATGTCAAAAATATATGTCAGAAAAGAATACAATTTTGAAAATCATTGACAATACTCGTGAAATTAACAGGCACTAAAAACAATTTTTTGGTAACAGTAATTTGCATTGTTAAATAACTTGGGCTGTTTTCAACAGTTCCATCCCTCATTCCAAACTACAGTAATAGAACTACAATTTTTTATTTTACAGTGTCTTAAATTGTTTCAGCTTAAAAACGCATGTTGATAAATTTGGGTGAATTTGTTTGCTCTATGTATTTTACTAAATGTACCTCAGTACAAAACAGTTTTTATGATTGAACTAAACCCATCTTCATGTTAAAAAAACAAACAAAACACATGCAGAACAATAAAACTGCGCTTTTAAAAATATTTTTAACATGGCTAATGAAACTAAACAACCCCTAATAAAGTTTTAGTTTAAATCCTTTATATCCATTTTTAATTATTTTATTTTATATTCTATTGTACCACTCACTTTAACACTATAGATTTATTTCACCTTTTCAGAAGAAAAAAAAAAGAAAATATTACACACCAATGCATTTGCGATATTTTTTTTAAAAAGAATCTCATTTAATGCAGTTATCGGGAATTTTATTTCGTAAAATCAGTCTCATCATGTTTCCTTTATCTTCTCCTTGAAAAACAGGAAAAACTTATTTTTGTGGGTTGGGATGTGGGGCTGAAAATTTGAAAGAATTTGTTTTCATCTGCAATGAGTCTATATGCCAAGTTTCAGCTTGAAAGGTTGACTGAAGTGGCTTCATTAGCCATCTGTAGATTTTGCCAGCCAGAAACACATGAACAAAAGCGATGTTAAGATGAATGATTTAAAAATAACCGTGACCAATGTCAGCATTTTACTGAGGGATTGAGGTGGGCAATGATGGGAGTGAACTATTGTAATCTCTAACAGAAATATGGGCAATGATGGGAGTGAACTATTGTAATCTCTAACAGAAATAAGACAAATGGATCAATTTGAAATTTTTTATATAATCTACTTTGAATTGTAAGTCTAAAACCTGTGTGAAGTATTTTAAAATGAAGCAGATTGTCTAAAGTGATTCTATTAATTCTGAGGCCAGTGGACATTAGAAAAATTGAGAAAGTAGGTCACTGCAGACGATCTTAAGCTGACAGTGGCTGAATGTCGCGTCTATTTCTATATACATAGTAATTTCAGATTCCAAACTTCTTTAACAAAAAATGTTACTGCGATAATATTTTAGATAGCAGACTATGGAAAGGTTTTGCCAGACTATCTTTTAAATCCGGCCTCTAAAATATATGTTAATTCAATAACTATTATGTGCAAATGAAATTATATGTCAGACCTGTTTACCCTCAAACTCTTAAAATCGTACAATATCATCACAAAATCTTTCAATACATTATCAATCTAATAGTAAAAAAATAATCATACAGTATGTTGTATAAAGTATACACCTCATAATCGTACATTGTACGCAAAAATCGTAAGAGTAAACAGGTCTGATATATACACAAGAAATCACTAAAGTACTAGTGGTTCACAAGTAAACAGGTTGCAGGAGCAGATAAAGTCTAAGAGCATATGTGTTAAAGGCTACGAGGGGGTGAGGTTTGAAAGAGGAGCAATGGGATTAAAGATAAGTGACCAGTCCATGATGAGAAACAGGATGGTCATCAGAGAAAGATTCTGAGAGCTTCTGCTCTAGGCTAAGCTGATTAGAAGATGCTGGGACTGACCCTTGAGCTGGGTGACCTGAAGAACATTGGACGACACAATCTACATGTTTTACCTCTATGGGGCTGTCGTTGCCTCTATCAATTTCAATGTTTACATTTTCACCCAGCACATCTTTCATGCATGTGCTGTTGCCGCGGTTGAGGTCTAATGTTAATTCTCCGACAGAGAGCTGGTGAGCACTGACAGAGCTGACCAGGCTTGGGGTGTGGCTGGTTGTTTCCCTTTGTACAGTCACCGATGTTGGTGATCTTGAAATATTTTTCTCTACTTTCTGATCCAAGGCAGACAACCTTAGCAGCGACTGCATTTTATCACAGTGGCACTTCTCCCAAGTAGCTGCCCTTATGCTCAAGAATTTCTTTGGCAAATTGGGCATTGGGCTTTTACAAGTCAGCTCTTCGGATGTCATTGGTGAAGTCTGAATCCGCTTAGAAAAGATATTTCCAAAACAACCATTGTTATCGCCTTCCACACTGTCTGTATCACCTTTCAGTTTGCATTGGAAATGGTCAAGTTTGTTGGGATCATGCCCTAGTGGAGCCAATCCTACAATTTGACTGTCCTGGTCTGTTCTTTGTTCCATTACTTGCTGAAAGTTCTCTCCTGGTATGTCTTCACAAGGATACACATCGAATTCTTTCTCATCAAACCCTGAATCCTGGTGATCACTGTTTGCCGAGCTAGACTCTATAGTGGCGTCAGACCTATCTTTCCTTAAAGTAATGCTGTCAGTGGTGTCAGGAATATTTTTCTCCAGTCCTTCCTTCAAAGTCTCTGTCCCAGTGTTACCAAAACTTTCTGTGGAACCCTTCCCTGAAAGTTCAGCAGTTGGTAAATTGACGTTCTGATCCGTCTCCCTGTGATTAGTGTCAGTGGCCTGACTAACTTTTGAAATGACATTAGCCACGACAGTCAGGTATCCTCCAGCATTTTGCACTCCTGATACATCAGCAACAACAACAACACCATCAGAACTCTCCCCGCCCACTCTGGAGATTGTTACTTCAGTGCCATCAGCAGTGTACTTGTTGACATAGACATTATTGGTGACATCCTTTGACTCCTCTGGGTTGAAGCTGAGTGACCTGTGAACTATGACCCTGACCTGCTTTGAGTCTTCACCATTTTCTACAGCCATCTGTTCATATACACTGGATGTTCCTTGATTATTTTGAATTACCCCTGGAGAAAAAAATAGTGTGTAATTGCCTCAAACTTTTAAATCACTGCATGATTTTATTTGTGGAACACATGGATTGAACTTACAACAAAAATATACTTTTAAATTTCTAAACCCACCAAAAAGCTGATATATTCAACGCAAAAATAAAATGACATAAATATTGTTTTAATCAACTTCAATTATTTTATTATTAAATTTATCCTAAATATTTTTATATTTGATTACTGAAAAAACAAAAAGTAATAAATATATTATCATTAAAAAAAAAAGAAATGTAAAATATATCATTCACACAGACAAGTAATATTTAAAATGTCTTTCTCATGAAGACTTTAGGCTGGGTTCAATGAATTTTCAAATTCATTAGTTCATTTGTCCTAAAACACTACAGAAACACCTCAAGTGTTGGTAGCATGCTGGATAAACTGGACTGATCACCAGTGGAGGAACCACAATGACTATTCATGATGTACATGATAAAAAATGGGCTGGCCCACTGCTCCAGAAACTTGTACCTCCCCCAACCTTGACAGCGACAAGGCCATGACAGGCAGCTCCGGCTCATAAAAACAAGAACTGTGTACAAGAACTCCTAATTCCTGCCAAAGACAATCAGGGACTGTAACAAGCTTCCAAAGGAACAGTTGAGGCGACTACACTTGACACGTTTGCATCTATTGCCTCCTGTCTTCCAACACCTAGTTCTTAATACCACCACTGAGTAGCCTTTGCAACCAGTGAAGTATCCTCTTCAAAACCATGCACAGTTACATCGTGAACCCCTCTACAGACATAGGAACCAGAATGATCAATACATAGATCGTGGACCCTCAAAATATAGGAGAAGAGAAGAAAAGTAACCCTTTACTGTGTGTCCCAAAAGACCACTTACGGTGTGTAAAAAGGTCCCTTTCTTTCTCCGCCCGCTCTCCTTCAGCTAATGCAATCATCATCATCTTCTGCTTGGTGAACTTCTTGAGCTGCTTCTTGCGCCACAGATGTTGTTTCAACATGAATATTCCATAGCCAGGGACAATGAAAACACTGGCTCCTACGAGGACTGCGCCAGCAGCTAGCCCAAGTCCAGCTAGAACCATTCCAGCCACCAGACGTGCAGCTTTAAAACAGAAAACAAATGTTTTTATCATCAGTGTTTCCAGTATTGAGTTCTGGTTGATAAGTAGGATTATTCATTAAATGAATCTTTGTTTTATATTTTGCTAATGATCCCATGTATACAATATTTTAAAAAAATATTGGTGTATTTTAAAATAAGAAAACCCACCAAAGTTTGCTCCTCGTATAAACCTTCGCAGGCCAGGCCTCTTGGGCATCAATCTATACTTGCAGCCAAATGGAGAGAATCGGCTCCAGTGGTTGCCTAGCAACTTGATGCTTATATATCTGTCTCCACAACGGTAACAGAAATCTGTGTGGCATTTAGTGCACTTCATGTGATCACACCCATGGACTCTTTGAATGTAGATCTGTGGCACAAAAATGGCAAACCCATAAACAAAAAGATAAAGATGAACACCGGCAATAAGCAGCCCAAGTTAATAAAATGTGCAAAACTCTTAAACAAAAACATGTACCGGTACACACAAAAAATTAGTGAGATGTATATATTTTGTGGACATTTTAAATTAAATTAAATCTATAGAATCATGTATTGCTAGCTATAGAATCATGTATTGCTAGAATGTATATTTTCTGAAACTGAAAGTAGCTACAATTTGAAGGTTACGCTTGAGGCTCCCTTAAATATTTACTGTGGATTGCTCTGTTGGGTTTTACACTCTTCAGCTAAATGAGATTATGGTATGAGGAATTGATTTCTTGCTTATGGCTGAAAAACTTGCACCTAGCCTATTAAGCACTTATTTGTCAATGACAATATTTAATTTTTGACATTTACATAATGCTGCAAGTGAACAAAAATTATTCATTGACCAATAATATCTGAAAAAGCAACCATTATTTGTATCTGTTTTATTAGTATATACTCTATTAGTATCTATTTTAATCTTAAATGAAATGTTTTCAAATTTTAAAACTGAAATGCAACATTTATCTAAATACAACATTTATCTTAATGCAACATTTATCTAAATGCAACGTTTATCTAAATGAAACGTTTATCTAAATGCATTATTTTTTTATGTATTGAGATACTCACACCACATTTGGGACATTTCTGTGCATTACTTTGACCATAACTACGTTCTTTAGCCCATTTCTTCACCATCTTGTCACCTTTCCTGTACTGCTTGCAACTCACACCGGAATGAAATGGTGCATGACAAAGGAAACACCATCCCAGATAACATTGTGGACAGATAACTCTAAGGCCTTTCTTTAGCTTCTTCTTGTTGGACAAAACTTCAGGTTCAATAGTAAAGGTTTTACTACAATCAGGGCAGGTCTTTTGACAAGGATCAGCATTGGCATCGATCAGGAATTTTGCAAACTTTTCTTTCATCTCATTCGGAAGACGTTCATTCACTTCATCCTTGTGTACTAGGACGTTGCATCTATCATTAGGGCATTCTATTTGAACTTTGCCTTCATTAACTTTAACAGAAACATACATTGTCATGCATTCATGGCACATACGAAAATCGCAACATACTCGTCGCCTTAAATATGACTTTGTCAGGCAAACAGTACATTCCATATATAAAAGAGCTCGGTGAGGATACAAGGGAGGAGCTTCTTGGCTTCTCTTCTGTCTCATCTCTTCATATTTGTTGTCTAGGTTGTCATACATGCTGTTGGCATCTATCCATTCATCATCTATGTTATGACTGTTGTTGCTGCTCAACTCTGAGTCCCAGTCATCTATAAATAATCGCTCTCTGGAATCAATAAAGAAAATCGGCAGCTCTGCATCTTCAAAATCTTCATCATCCTCAAAAGACATTGAGGGAGAAACTGTGCTTGGACTTGCACAATTGCTGCACTCCCAATAAACCTCTTTAGCTTTCTCTGAAGTTTTCCTTGCTTCTGTATTTTCTGTGTCAAATGGCAAAAACTCTTGAAGAGCAATGTCCCCATCTCCATATGATGTTGGGAGGCATCCAGAACTGTTTTTAGTAACACTGTTACCACTGTGCCAACAAACTTTTTGCACGGGTGCATTAATTTCATTAGTATTCCTCCTAATTTTAATTGATCCTGATTCTTTGTTAGATTGATTGCTATTACTTAATACATCCTTCTGACTGAAAGAGAATGATGGTATCGCTTCAGAATTATTTTGTTCATTTTCTGAAACTTCAGCAACCTTAATTTGATTGTCTTGAGAATGTGAGGTTAAATCCTTTTTTAAAGAAACAATTTCTTTAACTTTAAGCCCTTTTGCATCAAAATCTATTGGTCTGTTAGACGCTGTTGTATCATCATCCCCATTTACTCCATTTTTAGAGGGTGCTTCTAGAGGTTGAAAAATATCAGTAGTTTTACAGCTGTCAATTTCATCAGACTTTTCAGTAAACACATTTCTGTTGTTGGTTTCCCCTATCAGCTGTTTATGATTAAATGTGACATCCGCCATATTGATGTGGAGGAGGTGAGTTATTGTACGATGCCGACAAAACTCACTGTGACGACGGTCAATCTGAAGCGCGACCTTTTTTAAGTACCACAAAATTTCATATGTGATTCACTCACGCAGCGTACATAGGCTTATCATGAGTGAAAACACAATCGTCACGCATCGTAGGAACCATAATCACTCAAGCAAAACAGGACTAGGTAGCATGAATAGTGAAGAAACACCAGGAGTCGTGCCGTCCTAACTATTCTCCATCAAATTACTTTACTTTATAAACTCGAAATCTAATGTCACAATTTAAACTACATAATCTTTAACAATAAATCACATTGAAAATGAATTTTTCGGTCATATTTACAGTCCATAAAATTCAGGAATTAAATTTCCTCAAAATACCATGAAATTTGTCAATGTTGTAAACACTGGCTGAGTCTAAAAATAGAGCATCTACGCAACAAAGGATAGAGCATTACGATTGGCTAAATAATATCGTAATGAAAAATACATCTAATTAACGAACTAAATCTTACTGTACATAATATAATTAATTACGTTTTAATTATAATCTTATTTTACTTATTAAATCATAACAGTTTATTAGATTTTTTTACTTAAAAAATTTAATATAGAAAAACAAAACCATAATAACTCTTAAGTGAAACTTACGCAGAGATTTCATTTAAAGACTAAGTACGACCTTGGAAGAGTTAATTTAATAGTGTTAATATTAACAAGCCCAACGCCGGCCGATGCTTCTTTAAACTAGCTACTGGGTTAAATAGCCTAATAATTTATTTTCCTTTTATTTATTTAAAAATAATAATTTTAGCATTCTAAAAACATTAATCTTTCAAAAATATTTAGCACAAATAGCAACAATATAAATGAACTCTAACTCAAATGATTTTTTTTTTTTTCTGAAATCCGAACACTGGCCCCAAACCTAACTAAGTGTTATCTTTTTCAATCTAAAAACTAAAAATATAAAAGTGTCTTGATCACATTTTGTAATTTAGATCATCACTCCTCTTGCATTAACTTCATAAAATGATCTCAGGAACTTTAAATTATCAGAATGAAGCTGTTTTTAAGCCTAACTCAAAATTTTATTTGCAAAAATTTTTGTTTGACATCTTTACAAGAATTTCGTTAAAAGTATTTCATTTCCTCAATTAAACAAATAAGGAGAGGGGGTTTGGATTTATAATATTTCGTGTAGACTACGTGAACGAATGGTATTTAAACAACCCCTAAAACAATGTTTTTGTTTTTTTTTTTTTGTTTTTTTTTAAATAAATCCTTTATTAAGTATAATATCGTGCAATTTTAGTGCTCCCCTCTCCCCCCCCCCCCCCACCCCCGGCTCGCAACGTCACATTTTTTTCATATATTAATACTCTAATGACTCATCCGCTTTTACATCTCATATTTATTTTTACCAACTATTTCAGAAAAGTAAAAGAAAATATTACGCACCAAACGCACTTGCGATATATATAATATTATATGTACAGGGTGGGCCAATAAAAGTGAGAACATTTCTTAGCATATGAGTTATTTCAAAATAAAATTTAATTAATTATAATTCTTCTTGGAATTTTTTTTGCAAAATATTTAGCTAATCAGAAATCATGTTCAATATGTCCTCCTTGCTTCTCAACGACCTTAAGCTAGTATGGGTATAGTTAAACTAAATTTGATTTGATTAAATCACATATTACGAAATGTTCTCACTTTTATTGGCCCACCCTGTATGTGTGTATATGTATATATATATATATATATATATATATATATATATATATATATATATATATATATATATATTTGTGTAGTGTTAGAGGGAAAAAAAAGAGATGTCGGGTTGTGAGAGTTTTGTGTGTATATATATATATATATATATATATATATATATATATATATATATATATATATATATATGCATATATTTATGAAGTGTTCAAGGGAAAAACCAGTGATGTCGGGTTTTGAGAGTTTTGAGAAAAATTGAAAATTCCTCATGAAAGTATAAAAATGTCAAAATGTCTAAATATTCATTTACTGAATACGCTGCTTTTTCAGTTTAGCATATGTGTCATATTATTCTATTGAATTGAATGTATTTGATATATTTATATTATATATTAAAGCATTTCGTTTTGTGCAGCTATCAGGAATTCATTTTATCTTCCCCGGGTAAAGTTGACATTTTGGGGGTTGGGGCTGAAAGTTTGATAGCATGTGTCGTCATCGGCAATGAGTCTATTTTGAGTCTATCTGCCAAGATTCAGCTCGATAGCTTGACTGGAAGTGGATCAATTAGCCGTCTGAAAATGTTGACAGCCACCCACGAATAAAATTGAAGTTAGTATAAAGGATTTAAAAAGACGGGGGACGGGCGTTCAGAATTAGTATGCTGGATACATTTGTTTAAACTTGATTCAATATCTTCCCAAATTTGCGCCAATCAAACCCAAATGTTTTATCTGTGATGGACTGGACCAGCGAGATACCAAGAAAAATCTTGGTGGGCCAGTAACATTTGGGCCACCTGGGCCTTTCTGTCGGTGATATTTGGGCCAGCTAGGTCAATTCTGCCGGTGGGCCCGCTTCTGTTTGTGATACTTGAACTGCTTATATCAGTTATATTTGGGGCGCTTGTGCCGCTTCTGTTTTTTTATATTTGAACTGGTTATATCAGTTATATTTGGGGCGCTTGTGCCGCTTCTGTTTGTGATATTTGAACTGCTTATATCAGTTATATTTGGGGCGCTTGTGCCGCTTCTGTTTGTGATATTTGAACTGTTTATGTCAGTTATATTTGGGGCGCTTGTGCCGCTTCTGTTTGTGATATTTGAACTGTTTATGTCAGTTATATTTGGGGCGCTTGTGCCGCTTCTGTTTGTGATATTTGAACTGTTTATATCAGTTATATTTGGGGCGCTTGTGCCGCTTCTGCATACACTAATACTTAAATCATTATTTAAAGTCTATGCTCAATAATATTAAGATGTGTGACAGATAAAGCGCATTAGCGACTTATATGATGTAGGAACCCATGGTTTAAGTAAGTAAAGGACTAGCAAACTTCTTGGAGTCAACTAATAGCATATGCTAATAAAACATTTTGGGAGTCACCGGTCGATTTATTGTTTTAAGGCCGGCATATCTCGTAAAAGGTTAAAACATAAACATACCGGTATTTACTTATGCCTTTTACCCCATCGGGGGCATAGACCGTCTACAAGAATTGTCCATTCATCTCGGTCCTGTGCTTTGGGGTCGTCCATTAATTACATCAACACTTTTAAAGCAATTTTTACCCCCCCCCTCTTTCTTGTCAACACTTTTAAAGCAATTTTTACCCCCACCCCCTTTTCTTGTCNATATGGCAAAAACTCTTGAAGAGCAATGTCCCCATCTCCATATGATGTTGGGAGGCATCCAGAACTGTTTTTAGTAACACTGTTACCACTGTGCGAACCCCCCTCCCCCCAAAAAAACCCAACAAAACAACAACAAAACAATTATAATATAAATAAATTTATAAATACATTTTACTTTGTATTGATCTTTAATGACAATAAAATTGCAGGAACAAATTTCATTACATCTTTAATTTGTTAATTAATCAACAAGTTAAAATGTTTTTACACTTAAATTTTATAATTCAGAATCAATTGAAAAGTTGGTAAAGACTAAATATCATTGTTTGTGGCATAAATATGATTATTGTCAATAAAAGCTGACAATTATAGTATAGTTTCTAGCTGCTATAATCTTCCCAAGGAGTAGCCAGGTTTGCTCTATCGTAACAATGGGCATCAGGGACATCATTTGGGTAGGGCGGGGGCATTTACCCCAACCCCTAATTTGCAGGTTTTATTAAAAGGGCTATGTACTGTGGCGCCTCCAGTTAAAAACAACTTAACAAGCAGACCAAGTTTTGGTTTTGCCCCCTCCCCAAAAAAAAAAAAAAAGGAAATGACGCCCCTGATAGGCTCAGATAGGCATAGTCTATAGCAGCTGATTGATCATTTAAATCTTGCGGCACTGAGACACCAGACAAGTCAACATCATCCTCATCTAACCATTCAGCACTTAAAATAGAGGCAATGTTGGTGGGAGCAGTAATTGCCATAAGTTCTCTCTATCTCCTTGCAGCTACTCACATTGATTGAATCCTGTTTTGTTGAGGAACAGGTACTAATTTCTTATGCGCAAGAGGGCATTGTCGGTGTTGTTGAATATGCTTTTTCAACATGACTTGTGATGCAAAATTTTATACATTTTGCAAATCCGTTCAAGCAGCGATGTTATTATTTTTACTCACTTAATATTCCCCTAATTCTCAAAATATTGAATTCATACTCTATTAATATCATTTAACTTTTGACTTCTCTTGCATTAACAAAGTGTGCTAACATTCTGACCAGCCATCTGCAGTGCTCAGACAGAGATAAATTAATTAAATCTTATATTGTTAAAAGCCTAAAAATTATATGACTACCGTATTTACACTTATACATTTTTTAAATAATGTAATAACCAGTCAATCTTTAAGATTGAAATTTTAATAGAGAAATCATGACTCTTGATGACAACTAATCTAAACACTCCTCCCCCCCCCCTTGCCAAAAACTGTCAAACATTTCCAAACCCCCTCCACCCCCCATTTTGTTGACGTAATTAATGGACGCCCCCCTAACTCTCTTACCAACTTTTGGTCTATCTATCACATTCCTCTTGCTGTCCTCTCCGATAATTTACTGCACCTAGGTTTATTTTAAATTGTTAAATTATTTTTACTGTTATTTGTTCGCTAAAGAAGGCTAACTGCCGACACGTTTCTTGTTTTGTTGCCACCTTTTTCAGGTTTCCCCATCGGCCTACTTTGATCCACTTATTTCCTTTATTCACTTAATGTTGCTTGAATTTTACAGGAGTGGAGACATCGTTCAGTGACAAGGATAGAGTCATCCTTGAGGCTAGGACAGATTGAAAAGAAATAAATTGAAAAATAAGTAGGAGGTAATTACAACTATTACAAGCTTTCAAGACATGATTGATCCCTTCACTGCATTCATTAATTGCTTGGTGGAAATATTTAACAGTTGAATAAGCAACACATTTTGATTCACCGGTGTTCTCTTTTTGTGTATTTTTTCACTTTTTTAAAATTAACAATTTGTATGGTATTGTTTTGTTAACGTGTTTAGAGGGTCTACTTCAGTTGTTTTTTGTTTAGTTTTTCTTGCTTAGGCCAGGCCTCAAAAAAATAAATCCGGCTCTGCATGTCTGTACTTAACATAAACGAAATATAAATTACAAGGTAAGGAAAAAAGGCTAATTAAAAGAGACGTACCCATTCTACACTTATTTACTTACTACTTAGACAGTAGCACTCTTAACCTAGAACTAGATATA